CCTGGAGTATTATGAAGAAGAATCTACAGGGGATGGGGGTACGTCAAGGTTTTGAAAATGGTATAGGTGCAATTTATTCAGAACAAAAGGCAAAATTAATTGTGAACAATGTAGTGACAGAAGAGTTTAAGATTAAGAAAGGGACATGACAAGGTTGCCCAATTTCTCCACTGCTTTTTATATTGGTCCTTGAGGTTTTGTTAAACATGATAAGAAAGGACCAAGAGGTCAAAGGTATACAAGTGGGAGTTAAACAGTATAAACTGAAAGCATTTGCTGATGATTTAGTATTGACCCTACAGGAACCAGAATCTAGTACAAAAAGGGTATTGGAACTGATTCAAGAATTTGGGCAAGTAGCAGGTTTTAAGCTGAATAAGATGTAAACTAAGGTTTTAGAGAAAAAATTTAACTGTAAATGAGAGAGAGAAGTTTCAGGAAGAGACAGGACTAACATTGGTTAAGAAAGTGAAATATTTAGGGGTTAACATGACTGCCAAAAATGTAAATCTGTTTAAGGATAATTATGAAAAATGTTGGATTGAAGTGAAAAAGGATTTAGAAATATGGTCAAATTTGAAGTTATCATTGTTAGGCCAAATTGCTGTGATAAAAATGAATGTGCTGCCAAGGATGTTGTTTTTGTTTCAAACATTACAAATTTTGGATAAGATGGATTGTTTCAAGAAGTGGCAGAAAGATATTTCCAGATTTGTTTGGCAGGGCAAGAAGCCTTGAATAGAATTTAAGATAGAAAGAGGTGGATTTGCCCTGCTAGACCTAAAACTCTACTATGAATCAGCTGCTTTTTGTTGGCTGAGAGAATGGCTGCTACTTGAAAACACTGATGTGTTGGACCTAGAAGGTTTCAATAATGTATTTGGTTGGCATGCATATTTGTGGTACGATAAGGTAAAAGTACATAAAGCGTTTAAAAATCATATTGTTAGAAAAGCATTGTTTAATGTATGGATAAGATATAAAGATTTGTTGGAAAAGAAAACCCCAAGATGGTTGTCACCAATGGAAGCGAAGGCACAGAAAAAACTCAATATGGAGGCCAAATGGCTGAAATATTGGGAAATTCTGGAACAAGAGGGAGACAGACTAAAATTGCAGAGCTTTGAAAAATTGAAAAATAAAGTGCGAGATTGGCTCTATTATTACCAAATAATGGAGGCATATAATTTGGACAAAAAAGTTGGTTTCCAGGTGGAAAAATCAAAATTGGAAACAGAACTGCTAGATTCCAAAATTAAGAATTTGTCAAAAATGTACAACCTGCTGTTGAAATGGAACACTCAGGATGAAACGGTGAAATCAGCTATGATTAAATGGGCACAAGATGTTGGACATAATATAATGATGGCTGACTGGGAACAGTTATGGACCACAGGCATGAAATTTACGGCATGTAATGCCTTAAGAGAAAACTTAATGAAAATGATTTATAGGTGGTACATGACACCAGTCAAGCTTGCAAAAATTTACCATTTGCCTGAAAATAAATGTTGGAAATGTAATGAGACTGAAGGTACATTCTTTCACCTTTGGTGGACATGCCCAAGGATTAAGACATTCTGGGAGATGATTTATAATGAAATGAGAAAGGTATTTAAATATACCTTCCTGAAGAAACCAGAGGCCTTTCTCCTGGGCATGGTCGGCCAATTGGTGTTAAAGAAGGATAGAACTTTCTTTATGTATGCAACAACAGCAGCAAGAATACTCATCGCAAAGTATTGGAAGACACAAGATTTGCCCACCCGGGAAGAATGGCAGGTGAAGGTGATGGACTATATGGAACTGGCGGAAATGACTGGCAGAATCCGAGACCAGGGAGAAGAGTCGGTGGAAGAAGATTGGAAAAAGTTTAAAGACTATCTACAGAAATATTGTAAAATTAATGAATGCTAGAAAAATGTTGGAATGAAGTTATATGGCTTTAGTAGAAATATTATAAGGAATTAAGTACAGATAGGTTAATAGAGCATTAAAGGAAAAAATAAGGTTAGAATGAGTTAAGATAATTATAGGATAGAAAACAGAGGAAGATGGAAAGGAATTGCTGAAATAATTAACAGAAGTGGAATACAAAAAGGGAGGTGTGAGGAGGTCGTGGAAATAAGTGAATGAAAGATGGGATAATGAAATTGTTTGATTTAACTTATTGTCTTTGTCTTGTTTTGTTAATTTGATGTGTTGTATTGTATTGTTTTTCTTCTTTTTAGTGTTTAAGTTTTTGGAAAAATAATAAATATTATTTTAAAAAAAAATACTGACCACTGTTTTGCTCCAAATTACTTGGCCGGAACTGTTAGATAATATTGATTTATTGCTCAGATAAGCGTGAGGTCCGGCACGCTTCCCCCATCGCAGGCCTCTGCATTCCAAAGACCACATTCCGATACTTCTGAGCATAGCAGAGTTCAACAGCGGCAAGAGGAAACTGCAGAAAAAAAACTCCAGTGCCTTCTTCAGTGTGCTTAAATAAAGTCCACTCAGGATCTTAGCAGCTAAAAGCAGCTTTATTTACAGCAGGCTATCCATTATCTATCACAGCGAACAGCATCGCGAAAACACGTCCTCTCTCCTCAAAAGCGAAAGTAGAGAGAAAGAACAAAGGCTTGAGTCTCTCGGAACTGACGTAGAAGTTCCCCCCTCCCACTAGTAGGCAGAGCGTACACTCTGAGCTGTTTAACCCTGTAAGCTCAGGTTCTCCTCCACACCCCTCTCGCTCTGCGCTACTGTGGGGACAGTAAGTACAGAACTTACCCCCAACTCCAAACCACCACAAAACTCCCCATGACGCTCGAAGCTTAAAGGTTTGGTAAATCCATCGGCCAGGTTACTGTGACTGGCACAGTACTTCAGTCGTATCAAACCTGACTGAACACTCTGACACACATTTTGGAAACGTATGTCCAAATGCTTGGTTCTGGCCTTAAATTGCGCAGATTCAGCCAACTTCAAACAAGGTTGATTGTCTTCCCAAACCGTGATGGGCAAGCTACAATCCCCATAGATCTCTTGCACCAAGCATCTATAGAACTCTAGTTCCCGGCACAAATCTGACAGTGCACTGAATTCAGCTTCAGTAGAAGACAGCGCAATGAGACTTTGCTTCCGGGACTTCCACCCAACTAGTGACTTCCCAAACTTTATCACCAACCCAGACACAGACTTGCGGTCCTGCGAATTCGCCCAGTCACTGTCCGCATAGCATGTGAGCTTCGCCTCACCTTCAGCTGGCAGCTTAAGACAGAAGTGTTTGGTATGCTGCAGGTAGCGCAGTACCCGCTTGATACCGTGCCAAGCACTCACACTGGGCTTTGACGCTTCCCTACTTAGCAGGTTGGTAGCAAAGGCAATGTCTGGTCTGCTCCATTGGGACAGATACAACAGACTACCTAGAGCTGACTGAAAGAGCTCAGCATTCTCAAACTCAGCACTTTCTGCTTGCTGGCTATCTTTCACGAAGTTCGTCTCCATGGGTGTCCGAACTCCTGCACAATCGGACATTCTGAACTTCTCCAGCAACTGCTCAATCTTGCCTTTCTGACTGAGCAAGAAGCTACCATCCTCAGTTCTCGCTATCTGGACGCCTAGGTAGATCTTTACTGCACCCAGGTTCTTGAGCTGAAACCGTTTCCCAAGCTCTTTGGCAAACTTCTGCACCTGTTTGTCTGCCTTTCCAACATGGATGATGTCATCAACGTAAAACAACACCAGTTCCTGTGAGTCTCCTGATCCTCTAAGGAACAGGCAACTGTCAGCAAGACTCTTCCTGAAACCTAGCTTCTCCAAAGCTTCATTCAGGCACAAGTTCCAATTCCTGGCCGACTGCTTCAGGCCGTAAATTGACTTGTGAAGTTTCCACACAGTACCTCGCTCATTGCCCTCAAACCCTGGAGGAGGAAGCATGTACAGATCCTCCTGGAGGTCTGAGTTCAAGTAAGCAACATCCACATCAAAGTGATGCACCAGCAAACCTCTTTGTGCAGCGATGGCCAAGACCAAGCGTAGAGACTCACTCCTACACGTGGGCGCATAAATCTCCGTATAATGCAACCCCCTGCGCTGCGTGAATCCTCTCGCCACTAATCTGGCCTTATACTGCGGTTCTCCTGTCGCTGTGGGCTTAAGACGGTAAACCCAGCGGCTACCCACTGCCTTTTCACCCACCGGCAACTTCGTGAGGGAGAACACACCTAGAGACTCCATTGAGTTCATCTCCTTCTGCATCGCCTCATGCCATTTCCTGGCTTCTTCCTGAGGCAGTTTCTGAACATCCTCAAAACTCTCGGGTTCACACTGTGCCATTCCGACCCACACACTAGTGACGGCAAACCTTTCAGGAGGTTCCCCTTGGTCGTCCGCGTTGAACGGCGCAGCACTACTTCAGGAACCCCCTCTGACCCACTAGGGCCAGCCAGAACGTCCTTGGCATCAGAGAGCTCCCTCTGACTTACTGCGCCTTCTGGACTTCTCAGCCGAACCTGTGGGGGAAGATGGAGCACTGCGTTGCTCCATCTTCACAGCCTTGGGAGAAGTTCTCCCTTCTGCCTGCACTGGGTCTGGACTCTGAGCCTCAGTAGCAGGTTCAACCTCTTCCTCTCCTTCATCAGCAGAGTCCAGCAGACTCTCTGACAGGATGTCAGGGTTCCCATGTATCCTTGCCCAGCCACTCTGCTCACAGAATTCAGCACTGTTGCTGAGCAGAATCCTGGACTGATTCCCTGACGGATACGCAAACCTCCACCCCTTGGTCCCTGGCTCATACCCACAAAAATCATCTTT